AGTCAGGAATCAAACTCCTAGTAAGACTAACCACAAGGGGAGGGACACCAAAAGTATAGAGAAGGGAGAGAAGTGGACCCCACCCCAGGCACCCCAAGCACAGGAAACCTATACCAGGAAGACAAATCCCTATAACATATGGCATTGAAAAACAGGGGCTTAACTTTGCGAGTTTTTCAACCAGCAGAGCTTATCCTTGGGGACTTCAAGAATCTATAGGGTCAGTACTAGGAGAGCCAGAGGTTGACAGGAGACTGAGTCCCTGCCCTTAAAAAGACCGCATAACAAACAACCCCACAGGGATATAGAAGCAGCAGTTTGAGAACTACCTGGGGGAAACATGAAGATTCATGCTGAAAGGGTAGGGATCTTTAGAAGATACCTCCAAGAATAACCAAGGTATCTGGTTTCTCTGGAGGTCCCACCTACCAATGATAGCTTCTTAGGGACAATGAACTGCAGCCCCAGAAAATGGGCCAAGGGCAAGCATCTGGTCTGGCTGCTGAGACCACCCAACTAAAAGAACAGAGCTGTCCAACACTGACCCCTTACCAGCACAGGGACCAAACCCTTGCCTCAAGAGGCAAAGTATGTCATGGCAAATGACTAGATGGAGGTAAATGATGCTGAGCTAAAACAGTAGGTGCATACAGCCAACATAGGAGACACCCCTGTAGTTCCTAGTTCTGGTGTAAAGGAGACAATGTACTATAGGGCACTATAGGACCTCTTCTTCATAAGACCACTATTTTCAAGATAGGAGGTGTAAATGACTTTACTAATACTAGAAAACACTAGAAAAATAAGGAGCTAGGCAAATATGTCCCAAATAAATGGTCAGAACAAAACACAGCAAAAGGGCTAAATGAAATGGAAGATAAACAATATGCCAGATAGAGGATTCAAAGTAATCATCATAAAAATACTTAATAGACTTGATAAAAGAAAGGAGGATTCCAGTGAGACCTTCAACAGAGAACATAACAAAGAACAAATCACAGACACCTGGCTGTTAGTCTGTTGGACTCCCAACATGAGATCATGACCTGAGCTCATAGGTATGATTTCTGCATTGGGCTCTGTGCTGATAGCTCAGAGCCTGGAGCCTGATTCTGATTCTGTGTCTCCCTCTCTATCTGCTCTCTCCTGCTTATGCTCTCTCTTTTGGTCTCTGTCTCTCTCTCAAAAATAAATAAATATTTAAAAAAAAAAAAGAAGAACAAATCAGATATGAAGAACTCAATAACTGAAGTAAAAAATACACTAGAGGGAATCAATGGTAGATTTGAGGAAGAAGAAAGATTAGCAACCTGGAAGACAGAATAATAATAAGCAACGAAGCTGAACAGCAAAAAGAAAAAGAATAATAAAAAATGAGAATAGATTAAGAGAGCTCAGTAAAACCATCAATTGTAATAACATTCACATTACAGGGATCCCAAAAGGTGAAAAGAGAGAAAAGAAGGCAGAAATCTTATTTGGAGAAAGCTAAAAACTTCTCTAATCTAGGGAAGAAAACAGACATTCAGATCCAGGTGACACAAATAAACCGTCCCCCCACCCCCTCACCCCCACCAAATAAACCAAAACACCAAGATGCATAATGATTAAAATGGTAAAAAATAAAGAGAATTTTAAAAAGCAACAGGAAAAAAAAATAGCTACATACAAGGGAAATTCCATAAGGCTACCAAATGATTTTTCAGCATCATATGCATAAAGAATGGGGTGGGGGAGGTAATAAATTAGTGCTTTTAGAATGGATACAAACTTAAGTGACCATCAACTTAATTTGGACTGTTATTTGAATAAGATGTTATACATGAACCTAATGGTAACCACAAAAAATACCTTCCACAACAATTTGAAATCATAAATCAAATTGCAACTGTTGTATTTTCTTTAAGGAAAAAAATGTAGAAATTGCTAATCAAAATCTGAATAAGGTCATTATAAATCAATCAAAGCTCTTCACAAGAATTTTGTAATTCACTCTAGAATGCATTACCTAGGAAAACGTATTTAAGAATAATTATATGAAACCAATCCATTTATTTAAATGTGGAAGAATTTTAAACTTTTAAAAAATTTTTATGTTAAAAAATTTAATAAAAAATTTTTTGAATGTTTTATTTATTTGTGTGTGAGAGAGAGAGAGACAGCATGAGCAGGGGTCAGAGAGAGAGGGAGACACAGAATCCAAAGACAGGCTCCCGGCTCTGAGCCGGCTGTCAGCACAGAGCCCAACGTAGGGCTCAAACCCACAAACCATGAGACCATGACCTGAGCAGAAGTTGGACACTCAACCAACTGAACCACCCTGGCACCCCCATTTTTTTAAAGTCCAGAGGTAGCTATATATTCATTTATATTAGATTCCTAAAGATTTATGTGCCTGTGTTGGAACAAACTCCAAAATAACAAACCAAAAAAACTTACATAAAAAAATGTACTCATTCATTTATCAATAAATTTTTTAAGCACTTAGTAAACCTTTGTTGGATTCTATTGCTTGTTGCAGGTTTTATGATTTCTGCTTTTAGGAGTCTATACTTTGCTAAAGGAAACAGTCGTATTTTCAAATTATAACATCATACAATTTATAGTATAAGATAGATGAGGTTTGTAAGTATAAACACAATAGATATTTATCACAGGAGTTTTTTATATATATACTTTAGATTTGAAAAAGTAATATAAGACTCCTGCCAGAGAATGAAATGAATTTTATTTCTTATTAGAGACACAGAAAGAAAAAAGTATGTAATTTTAAAAATACAGAATGCATATTAGTTTATATTAGGCTATATTAATTATAATTTGTATTTAAATAACTGATACATTTAGTTGAAAAAATTGATACAGGTAAAATTTAGTTACAGGATTTATTTTGAAAAAACGGTACCGTTAAGTCACTTATAGTAAACCTAACAAGGATAGTACGTGCCTAGTGCAAAATTACTAATCTTTATTTTAATGTTGATTTATTTATTTTGATAGAGACAGCGTAAGTGGGGGAGGACAAGAGAGAGAGGGGAAGAGAGAGAATCCCAAGCAGGCTCTGCACCATCAGCACACAGTCCAATGTGGGGCTCAAACCCACAAGCTGCAAGACTGTGACCTGAGCAGAAATCAAGAGTCGGGTGCTTAACCTACTGAGGCTTTCAGGCACCCCAGTGCAAAATTTAAGTTTCTAAATGCAATACAGGTTGCCATGTAATTATTTAGGCTGGTTTTTCAGCAGCAGCTAGAGATTTTAAAAGAAATGATGCCCAGTTGACTCTGATTCAAAGAATTATCAGAATTTTATATACTAAAACACACTAGTTCCAAAATGTTTTTAGTTGTAGAACATGTTTTGAACAATCTTCAATCATGATATTTTCCTGAATACTTATCAGTTTGTTTTTCATTCTGTGAACATGAGTGGGTCTCAAATGAACATACTTGGGATATTCAATGTCATTCCTTTCAACTCTACTTGTTTCTTTTCCTGGGTCTAAATTTGGATAAAAAACTTAAGGGATTGCCCATTAGAAATATATGTTTTATGGCAAAAAGTATGTTTTACTTTCAAAAAAAATGAAAATATCCACAAACAACAATTTTTTTAAATGCATATAATGGATTTTTTAGTGTTGCTACTCAAAAACAGGTCATATAATACTGATGATACTGCAGTTGGAAGGATGTCTCAAATTACTTCCATAAATTTCTATCTAAACAGAAGTATCAGGCCAGACTCCTCAAAATCAATTATGACATAAAAAGTACCCTTGAAATATGTAAATAAAGAGGCTCCATTTTCTAAAAGGATGAGGAAGGTAAAATTCAAAGGAAAAGCATCCACCTATATTAGACACATGTGTTAGCTAAAGCAGTCTCAAGAAAAGAGACAATAATGAGGTGGAAATGAAGGTTCTATAGGCAGCAAAATTAACACAGCTTGGAAATTAAAGATAGCATAGCTGAACATTTCAGACTTGGCATTCTCTCAGTATTGGGTTTAGTAGTGAACATTATAAATACACTCATATGCTGTACATGTTAAGTGCTTTTAAAAATCAAAGTTTATTCAAGGTCTTTCAAGGTTAGACAAAAATCTTTCATTATCAGTGAAAAGATCCCTGAGATAAATGCCAATGGCTGAAATCCAATCAAGATGAAAAAGAGAAATTAAATAGCTATAGAGAAATCAGAATTTGAAGAAAAACTCAGAAAACAGGAGATCCTCTTAGTCAGTAGCATTTATTTAGGCCCCTAACACAAAGGTCTGGATTCTTTCATCAGTTTTCTAAAAGAGTTCTCAGGCTCTTTTTCTTGACTCTTTTTTCTTTCTCTGCTTTTAATTTATCTTCCACTCTATCTCTGGATTAATCTCCCTTAGGTCCTTTCATTACGTTAGTGTTCAAAAACTCTACAACTCCCAATTCCTTCCTAAACAGATTTAATGTCTCCTGTTTTTATTTTTTCCTCCAGATTTCCTGCAATTTTTCTACCTCCCACTTAGACAAGCCTATTTTCCACTAATCCCAACCACAGAACTTTCTCCAGAGTTGATATCATTATTTATTTGCACCATGCCCTTAACTATCATCCAAGCATTGCTCAACTTGCTTCCTTCCTGAAATACTATCCTCTCTTCTTCACCAGCTGAAATCCTTTCTACCCCTTACTTAAGCTTCAGCTTAGGTCCTGATTTATTGACACTTTGCATGTTTATTATTTACTTTGCCCTCTATTGATTAATCCCAGCTCTAAATTCTTATAGAGGCATTGGTTGTTCTATGTAAATTACAATGTGGGTGTCTATTATTTTGTGTGTTTCATGAACTTTCACAGGCATGGAATCTTAAGACATTCATAAGATAGTTATATGGAGGCTTGGATTGCATCTTAAAATTTTATATTACAGGATGGATGTTGAATGGATAGAAAGGAATTGTGCTTCTTTTCATAAAAAAGAGGGATTCAAGAAGTCATATTAAAATGCGTATTGTATGCCTTAAACTTACCAGTAAGGAAACTAATGATTCGGGATGATGCCTGAATCCTCACTGTTAATGTAAATGAAGTTTTGAGCTGGTAAAGCTTTCCCCTAAGGCGACCGGCCTACATCGCAGGATGCCTGGGAATCACAATCTGCCCATCCCCCCCTTTAACAATGAAAGAGCAGACTGCATGAAGGTAACAAATCAGGTTGAGCAGGTGCTTGTTTTCTCTAAGTAATAAATCGGATTAGCCTCCAAGGGATAAAAAAATACATATTGTATAAAAATGGATGAAGGGAACAGGGAGATACAAGTTTCCAGTTCTGAAATTAATATGTCAGGGGAATAAAAGGCACAGTATAAGGAATACAGTAATGACACTGTAATAGATGGTAGGGACAGGGAGTGGGGGTGAACATAAGATATAAACTTGTCAAGTCACTAAGTTGTACACCTGAAACTAATGTAACATTGTATCAAATATACCCAAATTTTTAAAAATTTCGGTGGCTGGCTGACCCAGTTGGTTAAGTGTGGGACTTTTGATTTTGGCTAACGTCACGATCTCATAGTTTCGTGAGTTTGAGCCCCACATCAGGCTCTGCATGCTGACTAGGAGAGCCTGCTTGCGTTCTCTATCTCCTTGTCCCTGCCTCTCTCTCTCTCTCTTTCTCTCTCTTTCAAAATAAACAAACTTTGGAAAAAATATATATATATATGTAGTATAATGAAAAAACAAAATAGAAATAAGTGAAGGAATTGAGTATAAAGGCAGCATATTAGTTTCCTAGGGCTATGGTAACAGGTACCACAAAGTGGGTAGCTTAAAACAACAGAAATTTATGCTGTCACAGTTCTGAAGTCCACATATCAACAGGCACATGCTCCCTGTAGGTAGAAAATCCCTTTGTGCCTTTTCCGAGTTCCTGGGGCAGCTATCAATTCTTGGCATTCCTCAGCTTACAGCTGCATCATGCCAATCTCTGCCTCCATTGTACGTGGCACACTTCCTATGTATCTGCATCTACATTTCCCTCTTTCTAAAAAAGCACTCGTCATATTGGATTATGGGTCTACACTACTTTAGTGTGACTTCATCTGAACTAATTACACATGCAATAACCCTATATCCAGATAAAGTCACATTCTGAGGTACTGAAGTTTAGAGCTTTAACATATATTTGTAGAGGACACGAATATATTCATAGGAGGCAGTAAAAAACTAAGGTGCAAATTAACTCTGAATTTAATGCATAGAATATATGCTGAGAAGTTCAGCCTGATGCAAGACATAGGCAACACATTTACCTCTAAAAAAAAAAAAAATGAGGAAATGGGGTGACAAACGGTTGAGCGTTCAACTTCGGCTTAGGCCATGATCACACTATTTGTGGGTTCAAGCCCCGCCTCAGGCTCTGGGCTGACAGTTCAGAGCCTGGAGCCTGCTTTGGATTCTATGTCTCCCTCTTTCTCTGCCCCTGCCCCACTCATGCTTTGTCTCTCTCTCTCTCTCAAAAATAAACATTAAAATTTTTTTTAGTAGAAAAAAAATGATGAGGAAACATGATCACTTGATCCAGAGTTTGTAAGAATTAAGCCAACAAGTTATAAAGGAAAACATAGAAGTTCTGTATTGATCCCAAGGGAAATATATCCTAAGAGAGCTGATGAAATAGAATGGTGGGTGATTTAGAAAACAATATTATCAATAAAACTGTATATGATATAGATGACTTTTTTATAAGAGCTTACTTAGATTTGCTTTTTCAAATTTATACAGTTCAGTAAAATTAATCATGGGCAGAATGGGGGTAATAGTTTAGGGAAATATGACAGCATCAAGGTATACAGTTTCTGATGCTATACTTTAATCAAGGAATACATATTCCTTGATTCTAGAACATCTATTATAAATTAGAATACCAAATTTAATGTCTATCAGTCAAAAATACTTTTGTAAATTTTAAAACTTTTCTTAATTTTAACATTGGAGTTCTTGAGTATTTCATCTGAGAGACTTTTGTTATGTTATTCTTAGAAGACATTATATATTGTGTGTGAATTCTAGGAATTTCCTCTCTAAATTTGCATTTCCAACTGATTCCTTGAAAACACCACTGAAATGTATCACCAAAATCTAATGTTGAATATGTCCCTAAGGATATATGCCAATATTCTTATTTTCCACAGTACAGATATAATTTTTGTTCTCTCATACATTTCCTGAATTTTCCTTGACCTGCTACATAAGGGATGAGGGACAAGAGGGCAGCCATCCATAAAACTATATTTGCCAGGCTCCTGTATTAATTAGATTTCATTTAGGTCTATTTCTATTTTTTCCTAACTTCTACTTTTTATTATCATCTTAGCTATCAGTTATATATTTTTCCTATTAAATGTCATACAGAGTTTTCTCTTTCTAGCTGTTTTGAATATTACCATTTGGTCTTTAGTTTTCAACAATTTGATTATAATACACCTAGGTATATTTCTCCTTGTATTTATCCTGCATCAATTCACTGGCAATATCTTCCAAATGATAAGGGAAATTATTAGCTATTATTTTTTCAAGTATTGTTTCTATCCCAATTCTCTGTATTCTCATACTGGGACCTTTTTTTTTTTTTTTTGACAAATTTCCATATGTACTTTATGCTTTGTTTTATTTAGTTATGTTTTCCTTCTTTGTTTTTTGTTTCAGTTTACATATCATTTCTAATAATGTATTTCTGAGTTCAATATATAGCCTATCCTGTGTTGGTCTGCTTTTAATCACCTCTATGAGATCCACTTGATTTTTCTTTATATAAACATTTTATCAATATTCCCTACACCTTTGTTCACACTGTTTTTCTTTTTCTGTCTTTTCTATAACATAGGAATTAAGAATATGTTAAAGTCGTTACTAATTACAATATATGTATCATCTATGGGCCTGCTTTTACAATAGATTATTGTATTTATTATTTATGACTTGTTGCTGGTTATGCATATTATTAGTAATTTTATATCTCATATATTGAAGATGTTACACTGCAAAGATGTGGATTATCTTGTCTTCTAATTCTCCTAAGTGTATCATTTACTCTTAGAGGATGTTTCTTAATTCTAGGATGTAGTATATATTTCTAGACCGGGGCCTTTCTGGTTTCTTAACTCAAAGACCTGGTAGCTCACCGTGGTATTTCTGAGATTGGCCTCAGATAGTTTTATTGATCTAGGTATTTACTCAAATCTCTCCTGACTCCCTGTGGCTATTCTCTGCTAGGCATTCTGGAGTTTTGCTCCTTGGGTGCACAGCTAAACACTAAACCAAAGACACAAATAATTTTATATACTTTATCATGGCCCATTCTCTGCCATGCCTTTCCCTTTAAATCCTTGTTCCTGAAACCCAAGCCACCACAACAGCAATGAACTATAATTTTGTTTTTACCACACAGTGTACTTCCTATTTGAATTCAACTTACCTGCATAGGGAATTGGAAAGTCCTGTCTAATGCAATAAGACAAAAAAAAAAAAAAAAAAAAAAAGNCCTTTAAATCCTTGTTCCTGAAACCCAAGCCACCACAACAGCAATGAACTATAATTTTGTTTTTACCACACAGTGTACTTCCTATTTGAATTCAAAAAAAAAAAAAAAAAAAAAAAAAAAAAAAAAAAAAAAAAATAAGACAAAAAAAAAAAAAAAAAAAAAAAGAAATAAAAGGCATATTGATTGGGACAGAAAAAATAAACTTTGTTTACAGATGTTGTGGTTATCTATGCAGAAAATCTGAAAGAATCAATGAAAATTTTCTGAAACTGTAAGTGATTATAGCAAAGTTACAGTTTAATATACAAAAGTCAATCCATACCTTCTGCTTAATATTGCTATGAACCTAAATTGCTCTTAAAAGTAAAGATCATTTCAAAGAAATATGCTGTTACTGGAGTAGCAATGTATTTAAGTCTTCTTGAATATCCTAACAAAACAGATGTAACAATAGATGCAGTAAAGTACTAAATATGTAAAATAATAGAACACTGAAAGTGCTTTAAGCCCAAGCAGTGAAGTAGTATCCTCACAAACCCCAAAATTTCATTGAGCTGTGCCTAACTACAACACCAATGTATATAATTCATTGTGTGAGAGGAAGAACAAAGGCAAAAATATCTGATAGCCCTGATGCAAGTAAATGCCAACAACAATTCGCTCAGAAAGCAAGAGAAGACTCTGGAAGAGAAGTCACATGAAACTATGTGAGAAAAGCACCAGGAGAGGAGACTGTGTATTTCCATTGTAAGGATGAGTTTAGGAGACTTTAGGATGTTAGACAATGCTGAGAATGTAGAGGTGTCATAAATCCTTTGAAACCAACCAACTAAAGAAGTTTCAAGGACAAAACCTATGCAAAAGAGAAACTGATGGGAATAGAAATACATTAAACAGGAGAAAGATACTATGGGATGAAAAGAAAAAAAGAGTGGGGCCAGGCAGTGTGGAAGAGAAAGAAAGGAAATATTCCGATAATGGTAAACAAAAAAAAAAAAAAAAGAAAAGAAAAGAAAAGAGAGAGACAGTTCTCACAGTTCCTGAACCAACTTTGTGATGCATCACAGTAAAATCTAAAACTGTGAAGCTATGATAGTTACCTTGGAATATTCCCCTGTATGGAAAGGTAATTTTTAAAATTTAAGAAACTCATTTCATATAAATACTCATAACACAACAGAATTGCAGCTGGATTCCATAACAACTCATTCTAGGTAAAAAAAAAAAAAAAAAAGGGCCAAATAAACATCTTTCAGATAGTGGAGACATACCAAACGAATATGATCTCCTAAAAAAAGATTTTAAACATTTAAGCTTAGTGTTTCAAAATAAACTAAATAAAATTAATATATGAAAGAAACCATAAGAACTAGAAAAAATGAGAAAAATAAAATTATAAAAATGAGAGAACCTGAAAATGGACCTCACGGAGTTCCAGAATGATTTAGAAATAAATTTAAAGTAATTTCATAAATAAAAGCAAAACTAAATAGACAATGAAAATGAATAGGTATCCTACATGATACAGTATAAGAGATAGCAAAAAGTACAAGAAGTAATTTTAAAATCAAGCAAAAATTAAGAGAGACATAAAATGAAGGAGGAAGTCATAGAAAAAG